GGCCAATCACAATGCACTGGGTCAGCTGGCCAATCAGAGCAGACTGCGCTTGTCAAAGGAGGGGGCTTTGTTGAAAACGACGTGTTTGAGAGAGGCGGGGCATAGAGGACCAACAATAATGTACAGTATTTGAAAAATAATGTGTTTTTTGAACATTAAAGCATGTCAACATATTCTGTTACACCAAATACACAAAATAATGATCTTTAAAAAAGCATCATATGACCCCTTTAAATTACACACCAAGGACATGGATGATTTTCCCTAAAGAATGGCCCGGAGAATTAAACTAAATTAATTACAACTAAAATGTGAGTAGTGAGTTGTTCTGATTTTTTCAACATGTCTTCTGATATTCATTCATGTTTATTTCGTGCTAGAAAAGCGGAAAAGATGATTGATTCACATGCCGAATACAGTGATCTCACGCCACATTAGAGACCGGACAAACACATTTAGCTATTGTTTGTATTTCATGATAAAATTGACCGAATTTAAAGGCTACGATTTGTGTTACATTAAAAGTAACAAAACATGTTTATTGCGATTATTGTGTGTGCTACAAATAATGAATGGACTTGAAAACGTTAAATATTATTTCCAAGCGTTTATACGGCCAATAGAACAGCTTTTGAATCGTCCTGTAATGTTATTTACCTCAGAAAAGACAACAATAGGGAGCTGTGGAGCCCATATTAACCTATAACGTTTGGGGGGCCCGTACAAATGTTTTTGCATATGGGCCCGAGGCTGACTTGCTACGCCACTGCCTCCATTACAATCAGCATCCATCTAAACTTTACTGGTGAGAAACTGGTGTGCTTTATTCAGGCCATACAGACTAGTCCTGACTTCAGCCTAAAGATAATGAATAGAGGTATGTTTGTTCGAGCCCGGTCTCATGAAAATGCGTATAAATAGTACGCCAAATAATAATGAAAACTCGTGGTATTGATACACAAAAATGGATTTTGGCGTGCATATGATACGCATGTGTTTGGCGTGCATATAATACGCAGTTTTCGCGTGCATATGATACGAAATTTGTTGGCGTGCATATGATACGCAGTTTTCGCGTACATATGATATGCATCTACCCCACAACCCTAAACCTACCCATCGCGTAGCATATACACGCCAAAGTCCATTTTTGCGTATCAATACCACGAGTTTTTGTTTTTATTTGGCGTACTATTTATATGCACTTTCATGAGATCGGGTTGGTTTGTTCCCACCAATCGCTGCACAAGTTAAGGTTACGTATGATGACGAAAGCACATTAGTGCTCGCCCTCCCAGGACCTTAGAGATTGCACTGCAGTGCCTGCAGTTAAAAAAAAAAAAAATTTGTATGTAAGTCTATGAGGACACATAGGGACAATTCTCGGCCAGAGTGAAATTGCCCAAAAAGGGGCGGTACTCCGCATAATGAACAAACAGTCTACAACAGTAACAGCTAGCGAAAACTGGTTGAATGGGATAGAAAAAAATCCCTCCCTTTCACACTTTGGTGGTGCATCGCCCTATCGCCCTAATAAAGAAACTGCCCCTGTTTGCGTCTCTAGTATTTCCTCTCGTCCTACTACAAGCGCGTATCAGTGGGCGAGACTAAACATGCAGTTTTGTAGAAGCAAGTTTTGATCTTCTCCTGCAGTGGTGGGGCTTTCGCTGCACTATTAAATCATAAAGTGGCACATTCCAAAAGCGAGTCATTTTCTGAGCTTGGTTTCAATAAAAGCTATTTTTAAACTAACCAGAAGGTTATGAGTTTTGAAATGTACAGTATGTTTTTATAGTACATTGACCGGTTTTATGTCTAAAGATCAAGGGAAATTTGATTCCTAAGTTCATGACCCCTTTAAAAATAAGGTGCATATATTTTCGCTGAATGAGAAAGAGAAATAATTGGAGAAATAGATTACGAGCTGCCTTCACTCAAATACATGGGGAGAGTCATATGTAAACACAAATGCTGTTTAGAGGTTTGAAGAATCGCAGTCAGCACGAAACACCCAAGAAACTTTGCTCATTTGATTTAGGATGAAAAATATCATACATACCGATTCACATTCCCATCAGGTAGCTGCACACAAATTCCTGCTTTAGCATTTGTAAACGATTCTGTTAAAGATTTAAAGATATTCTGTATTGTAAATCATCGATTCAGTCTGTTTAAAATGGCAACATCAACTCTGTTCATTTACTTTCACTTTTACTCATGACTAAAGCAGCGTGTTATGAGTTGCCAGATCCTGCGAAAATGTTCCACATCCCAGCTAGCACTCTTTCATCATGGAGACGCCTCTATAATGCGCGTGTTATGTGGAAGACATATTTCTTTAAGAGGTTTGCTCTTCAAAGGCTGGGTCATTCTTGGGATTTGGTAATATTTCATGTTATGTAACATGCATAAGAATACAATTACCCTGCCTGATTGTTTGATGTATTTAGTTAATATATAATGTCTAACGGTGTATTATTTTGTTGCCTCATATGGGCAATTATGTAACTGTTGCATAGGTATTGCATTTATAACAATGAATTTAACATTTATAATACAATGAATATAACATTTACATCGTCCACGCTGGTGTCAAGGACGTCGCCTAGTAACGTTCCCAGGACGTTCCGAGACGCAAGATGTGGAGTTCTTTAAAGGGTTGGGGGACGTTATTTGAAGGACCTTCACAGAACATTCAGGACATTCTTGGGACGTTTAGGGGACCATTACTATAGGACGTTACCTATTGGTCTGTACACTTCATTCCCATAACGTTTGTAGGACCAACCTAGAATGTTTTTTTTTTTGGTCCTATTTAGGTCCTTCCATCACATTTACTGAATGTTTTCAGAACCTTTAGTAACACATTACAGGAAACTATAGGGGACCAAACTAGAATGTTACTAGTGCAGAACTTCTTTGAAACTGGTTCTTGGTCTGCAGAACCTTAATCAGGCACTGTGTTCATGCTTAACACATTCAAACATAAAATACAAAGCAGGAAAACATCATTCATTTATTCTGTGAACAAAAACAGATTATAAACGCATATTAAATGTGGTCATGCATAGGAAGGGTGGGGGAGAGAGAGAGGGGGAGCTCAGTCAATTCAATTCAGTTCAGATTGGCTTTATTGCCATGAAAATCTCCACAGTAAAGCATCACAATGTGTCCAAATAATGGAAACAGTAACAAGAACATGACGATTTATATTAATTATATATTCAGTGTGTGTGTGTGTGTGTGTGCCAGTCACTGTCTCCATCTTCAGGAGGTGTCCCAAGTTGTTCTTCCGCTGCCTGAAAAAAAAAGCAAATACCAATATTTAGCAATCACTTCAATTACTTTTTAATTGCTTTTAATTACACTTAGGTGTATAAGTATAGAGGACCAAACCTGCAAAAACAAAACAAAACAAAAAACATAAATTATATATATATTGAATAAGCTATTTCACATAACAGATGTTTATATATACTCCACAAAACACATAATAAAAATTACCCCGTTCAAAAGTTTACATACCCTTGAATCGTAATATTGTGTGTCTTTTCCTGGATGATCCACGACTGTTTTTATGTTTTGTGATAGTTGTTCATGAGTCCCTTGTTTGTCCTGAACAGTTCAACCGCCTGCTGTTCTTCAGAAAAATCCTCCAGCTCCTGCACATTCTTTGGTTTTCCAGCCTCTTCGTTCCTCCGCTGCCTGAAAAAAAAGCAAATAACAATATTCAGCAATCACTTCAATTGCTTTTTAATTGCTTTTAATTACACTTAGGTGTATAAGTATAGAGGACCAAATCTGCAAAAACAAAACAAAACAAAAAACATAAATTATATATATATATATATATATATATATATATATATATATTATTTTGCTATTGTAGAAAGACTCTAAAACCCTTGTTTGTCCTGAACAGTTCAACTGCAAACGTTTGATTTGTATCCAGACACTGCAGTGTCTCACGGTTGAGAACAGCTCAAGGAAAGCTGAACACATTGCGTACTGCTTCCTAAGAGAGGAAAATGAAAATATGCTGTCCCAAATGTGCAGCATCTTTAAGAAGGACAACTCAAAATGGACTGAGATCAAGCACTTTATACTGGACAAAGATTCCTCTGAGATAAAGGCCCTTCACAAAAACTTCAATGCAAAGCTGCTTTTATGCACTATCCATGTCATCAAAGCCTGGAAAAAAAAGATAGCTGAGTTTGTAGAGACGAAAAAGGAGATACTGTCAGTTCTGCGATCAATTCATCTGAGGCAGCATAAAATGACAATGTCCAAAAACTGAGAAACATTTGCCAAAATTAAGATTTTGTCCAGTACTTTTTGACACACTGGGACCCCTGTCAAGACATGTGGGCTTATTGTTACAGAAGAAGACTTCCTATAATGGGAAACAATATGAACAACAGACTTGAATCTCATTTTCAGAAACTGAAGAAAGTTCTCCATCAAAACCTCTCAATATCAGAAGCTGTAACACAGTTAGTGGAATTCATCAAGAGACGAGAATGCAAGTGTAAAAGTCAGTGTACATTACTTTGTGACACACGTGTACCTTCCAGTATTACCGAAGATTTTTCCAAGATACTGTCTGATCAAGCTTTCCAAATGGTATTGGGACAGTTTCACATCTCTGGAAAGAGTAAATATGAGTGTACCATCAAAGGTGATGATTTCACTGTTTCCTGGGTGGATAGGAGTACATTTGTTGAGCATACAGTGAACAAAGATATGACTGGATGTACTTGCAACTATTCTGTGAATTTCGGATTGCCCTGTGCACACATTCTCTTTTGCAGAATGCATCAAAAAGCACCACTCTTTGACATTTCACCGATCCATTCGAGATGGTTGAAGCACAAAGATGTCCCGAATATTGACATCCTTGAAAGCTCACAGAAAATCAACATATGCTCAAATAAAACACTTTCATTAAGTGCAAATGAGAAATATTCATGTGTGTACCCACTAGCTACAGAGCTAGCAATGCATGTATCTCCATGTGGTGGCAGAGTTTGAGTATAAAAGAGATCTATAGTCTTAAGTGTTTATTTATATTTTTTGATAGGTGCAATTTCAGGATTTTCATTGGGCTTTACTGCCAGTGTGTAGGTTCAGTCACTGGTTCTTAATTGCATTTAACATACCAGAGTGCAAAGTCTTTGTACTTGATTCACTCAAAAGCACATCTAAGCACCGTGAATTCCTGGCACATTGGTGGTATGTACTGTATTCTATACTCAACATTTTGTAGTGTATGGAGGTTGTGTAGGGCACAGGTTTTCCCATGCACCTCATGGACCAGGTTTATTACCCCTCTTTCACATGTCTACAGTCAGGCTTAAGACAGTTCCCAAGCTCATTTCTTTGCTTCATTTTTTGTCAGATGCTAAGACGCTTAGCATCTGATGCTTGATGCTTGAACGCTTGACCTGTCTTCAGTACCCTAGTTATCTTTAATTCATACACTGTTAAAAATGTTAGTGTGAAATTACAGTATATTCCTGATTAATAATTGCATGACTTTCACAGTAATTCCACAGTAGGACTTCTCTTGTATCTAACTGTACTCTTGGAATATCATACTGTAATTCTACAGTGCATATGTACTATGAAGGTACCCAGCATGCAGTGCGGCATGAATAGATTATGCAGTGGAGTTTCTTGATTCTTGTTGGTTTTATCGGTGCTGCTGAACTTATTTTTGGTTCACTTTTACCAGTTTGTGTTGTTTATTTTGTAATGTTCAGAATTTATTGTTTTTATTATTATTATTATTTGTTGAGTCTCAGCATTGTTGTGTTTTGTATGTCGAGAATTGATGTCTGTGGATCATTAGATGATGGAAGAAAAAAAAATCTTGTTTCAGTGTACTTTTTATGTACGTCTCAGAAATATACTTTATGTACTTAACAGAAAAAACGTAGTTGTAAACTATATGTGTACTTAAATTTAGGTATTGTTACACTTAAAGTATACTTAAAAATAAACTTTTATACACTAAAAAGTGGGTAGTTTAGTCCCAAGTAGTATTGAAATAGTACACTTACAAGTATACTACTAGTGCATACATATACTTAATAAATTAACTTGATGTATGCTTATTTTTTGTACGGTTGGACCATATGAATAATTTATTTAACCATTGAATAATTCAGTCTTAATCAGTCATGTTGTGTGAATCTTTATTGTTGGTCTTTTATTGTAGTGCCTTTAGTTTTTGATTACTTTATTTCACCTGGTGTAAGATGACTCTTTTCTTTCCAACAGCAATTTCATGAAGACACAAGCCTCTTTAGGGATTGAAACCCTAGATGGTTGGACTCTGAGTTCCATCGATGTTACAGTCCAAACATATGGGTCAAGCTGTGGCATCTTTCTTTCGATGGTTAGCTGCCAACTATTTGATAATAGCATGCCAATTTATAAAATTAAAATTATGAAAGATTGCAGTTTGTTTCAACTATTGGTTCTATTCTAATATTGTTTTTTTCTTTTGTCTTCTTCTTTAAAATGTTGACTGTGTTTAGAATTGATCTTAAGAATTAAATTCAAGGTGTAACTTTTTCTGTGCCATCCAGATTAATATGTAGAGACGACTATATGTAAACCATTCTAAGTAGTGTTTTTTTTTTTTTTTCCAGAATGCAGAGTCCCTGCTGCTGAATGTAAAGCCCAACGTCTCCCAGCAGAAAGACATTGGCTCACTCAGACAATACATTAAAGACAAACTTTTTCTGGAAGGCAAGTAACATAATCCAAGGTGCCCCCTATCCCAGATAAATATGCAGACACTACAACAAGCCACTCACTCAAGTTTTAAAATTGTATTTCTTCCCAGAATGTAAAGTCTTTGCCGCAGAAGATGAAGTATATTTTTAAACCTATATAAGGATACAAATATCACAATTACGCAAAAATAAAAATAGAAATAAAAACCACCTACAGCCACATCTGACAATTACAAAAAGAATCAATATCTTAATTAAGACCAGGATATGAGAGAGCATTCCATTTATGTATCCAATAAGTTTCTCATCTAAGTCTCCACCTCTGGAATTGGACATATGACATTCAATGGCCTGTATAAAATGTTTTGCCATCGGAGAATTCATGTTACCAGTCCGTATCGCATATCTATGTTCAGCCAATCTGTCACGTAACCTCTTAGTGAGGGCCACATAAAAACAATTACACAGACATTCCAATCTGTAAATTACATGTGTGGAGTTACAATTAATAAAATCTGTGATCTCAAATTAATGAATTAATTCAGAAGAAGATATTGGAGTTAATGTTACACAAAATAGCTGTTTTGTTTTGCTATTATCTTATAATTTTTCTTAAATAAATGAATTACATGTCATTAATTCTGTCACGAGGTAAATAACAGAGATAAAGAGATTCAAAGCAGCTTTACAGTGTTAACAGGAAAATGATGCATTGTTTATGTCAATTTTGTAACTGTTTAGCAACAAGTCGATTCAGTTCAGTTGTAAAAAATCAGTTACGAATTTAGTTCATCTATACAGCAGCTCTGGAGAAAATGTCATCGTCCAGCTCAGTTCAGTTCTCATGCAGTAGTGTCAATGCAGTCAGATCAATAATATAGCTGAATAGGTGACCCCAACTAAGCAAGTCAGAGGCGACAGCGGCATAGAACCCAAACTCCATCGGTGACAGAAATGGAGAAAAAACCTTGGGAGAAACCAGGCTCAGTCGAACGCATGCCAAATATTTAATCCAGTTCCATCTGGTCAAACATCGAATTCATCACGCCGGTATGGAGATGGGTTTTTTTAGTTAGAAATTAGTGTGGACAAGGCATCAAACTGCAGATCAATGTGTTCATTCACATGAAGAAATCATGAGCATGTCATTCTCCAATGTTTTGAGGTCCTCGAATCATCTTAAAAACTAAAACGATGCAATGCCTTTAACACGAGTTGATGAGTTTGTGTGGAGTAAGGCGATCCAACGTCCTTGTTTTCGAGGGACAGTCCAGGTTTTTGTTGTTTTATCCCCAACTAGAGCCATCATCAGAAATGTCCCCGTTTTAAAACACCCCATCACAAAAAAAACGACCAACATATATGACACGGAGCAACGCCTCTAAATAGTCTAAATTAAAGGGTGTCTGCTTAATATTTGAGACTATAGCAAAGACGATGGCAAGGATATAAAAAATATAACAATACAAATAAAATAAGTGGTTATAAAGTCGAATCAGATGAAGCTCACATTCAGTTGTGGTGTGAAAGTAGCCTTGATTTCTAACAGATACACATGTTCTATTGCCGTACTCTTTAACAAAGAACACCAACAGGTTCTGAAAAATACATGACTTTTCATAGGTATGTGTAAGTGTGGTGTTTGCATTACACTGAAATGTCTTTCTTTAGAATGAAATTGCTTTTTCTAAATGTCTTGTCACACTGTGGAAAACAGCATTTTCTTTGCATATGCCGTTTCAGTTCTGTGTGATATGTGAAACTCTTCTCACACTGAAGACACTTGTAAGGCTGCTCTCCAGTGTGAACTCTCATGTGAATCTTAAAATTTCCTTTAAGTGTGAAACTCCTTCCACACCGAGGGCAGGTGAACGGCTTCTCTCCAGTGTGAACTCTTATGTGATTCTCAAGATTGGCTCTTTTTGTAAAACTCTTTCCACACTGATTGCACATGTAAGTCTTCTCTACGATGTGAATTTTTACATGATTCTTAAGGTGATTCCTGTCTGAGAAACTCATTGGGCACTTACGACATCTAAAACAGTTCTCTCCTGAGTGAATCCTCATGTGATGTTTAAAGCCTACTTTATATCTGTAACTCTTTCCACACTGATCACAAACAAAAGGCTTCTCTCCCTTGTGAATTGTCATGTGAGACTTAAAACTTGCTTTTCGTGTGAAGCTCTTCCCACACAGTTTGCATTCGTAAGGCTTCTCTCCAGCGTGATTTCTCATGTGGGCATCAAGTTCTTTTTTCTGTTTAAAACTCTTCCCACACTGAGAGCAGATGAACGGCTTCTCTCCGGTGTGAACTCTCGTGTGAATTTTAAGACTTCCTTTAATTGAGAAGCTCTTCCTGCACAGTTTGCAGGTGTGAGGCTTCTCTCCGGTGTGAAGTTTCAAGTGGGCATTAAGGTTTTTTTTCTGTGTAAAACTCTTTCCACACTGAGGGCAAGTGAACGGCTTCTCTCCAGCATGGATTCTCAAGTGGACTTTAAGGCTGTCTTTTCGAGTGAAACTTTTTCCACATTGTTGACAGGTGAAAGGACTCTCTCCAGTGTGAACACTCATCTGGACTTTAAGGTTCCTAGATTCTGTTTCATGATCCTGTGAGTAACTAAAAGTTTTTTCCCCAGTCATGAAATCTTGATCTTTCTCTTCCATTTCATTCAGTTCTTGACTCTCCTCTTTCAGTGGCATCAGGTCTAGGGTGAACAGAAACAAAAACAAGTCAACACCAGTTTAAATGGCACAAAGCAACAGACATGAAAAAAGATGTGAAACATAAAATCCAACATGTATGCAAAGTTAGGTTTTTGTGATTTTTTTAAAAAGAAAAAGAGAGAGAGAAAAGACACGGTCTCCGGTCGGACTCGGGCTGAGAATTCTGATAAGCTGTTGGACAAGGGCCGGGCTAGGGCCTGTAAGTCTCGGGCATGTCTTACATCTCAGGTAGGTCCTTCAGGGTGTCCTGGAGGGGTGAGATGTTTAAGCTGCAACATCTAGCTACTGGAGTGCCTCAGGACTCAGTGCTTGGACCACTTCTCTTCTTCTTCTAGGATCTGTCATTCAGAAACATGACTTTTCCGATCACTGCTATGCTAAAAACACACAACCTCTAATACCAGCAAGATGATCCAATGGTAGCTGCTCACATCTCTGCCTGCCTGACAGACATTTCTTGCTGGATGAATGACCACCACCTTCAACTCAACCTTGCAAAGACAGACCTGCCACTTCATCACAACCTCTCTATTCAGCTAGGTTCGTCAACCATTACTCCCATCCAGAACAGCCAGGAACCTCGGAGTTGTGACAGATAATAAGTTAAACTTCACAGACCACATTGCTAGAACTGCCCAGTCTTGCAAATTTTCCTTACACAACATTAGGAAGATCAGGCACTTGTCTAGTCCAGTGGTTCCCAACCCTGGTCCTGGAGGCACCCCAACACTGCTCATTTTGTATGTCTCCTTTCTCTGACACACCAATTTCAGGTCTTGGAGTCTCTACTAATGAGCTGATGACCTGAATCAGGTGTGTTTGATTAAGGAGACATGCAAAATAAACTAAAATTTATTGTTTATCCTCATTTAATGTGTGACGACATTTATTTTGTCACGAGACAGATAATGGAGATAACGAGATTCATGACACAGAATCACTGAAGAAAGACTTTGAGAATGAAAACCAACCTGTTTGTTCCTCAGTATCTTCATGTTTGACTCTGAAAGCTTCTTCAATCTTCATGTCTTCACTCTCCTCTTTAATAAACGCCATCTTTATAATAGTGCGTCTCTCAGTCGCTTCAGTGCGAGTTTTTCTGTTTAAGATCAGAATAATTAACAGAAAGATAATAAACCCAAACTAGATCTCTGGGGTGTCTCAATCAGCTCCCTAGTTCAGTAGTCAGCACACTAGTAAGGGAGTCAGTCAGAGTGAGAGTTAATGCACTTAAATCACATGATTAGACAAAAACACTCAAAACTAGCACTACAAATTAATAAATGAACACAGATTATACAGACATTTAATATTTAGGCATTTATGATCTACATTTGGTATGTATTGATTTGTAGATTATATTGAATTATTGACTTGTCATTCCAGATGTGTGTGTTGTTGTTCTTCTTGTATTTTCACTGCTGTACTGCAGGTGTTGTCAGCGTGCTGCGATTCCAGCGCTTACAAACAGTGAAGCATTTTCACAAGCATTTGATTCAGTTGAGTCTCAGCGGGTTCAGAAAAGCTCTGTTTCTCTATCAGAATTTAAAAATGACCAAACAGTGTGTTTATAATGTACTGATTCACAAAAAAAGGGAACGAAATGAGACGCATCTTTTTCTGTTACTCATGTGTGGATGTGCTTTACTCACAAAAAAAAACTATGTTCATTAATGTTATTATATGCATTATAAGATTAGATTTAAAAAATAAGTTATTAATTTCAAAGTTCTCTATGAAACCATACAAATGGGTTGTATTGATTTAAACTCTTTAAAAGGTTAAAAACACAAACCTTTCTTCAGCAGAATCACAGATGCAGGATCGCGGCGCAGACTTATGACATCATGTCACCGTGCCAAAATAAAAGTCCTGTTTACACACTAAAAATAATAGAAATTCACATAAAGAAAACACATAGATAAAGGTTTGATTCAAAGGATAAAACACAGATTCAAAAAGCTATCAATATCACAGATCTTTACTAAAGCTTCTGGCTAACATTGACTAAAATAATCATGTCTTTCATAGTCATATTTAATTTTCTATCAAAAACTTTACCATTCCAAAAACATGCACAATAAATACCACCTTAAAAATATTAAGAAGTCAGAAATAGCTTTATTACCAAGTATGTTTACACAGACAAGGAATTTGACTTGGCGACAGTAGCTTCCAGTGCAGAAGAAAGTACACACATAGTGCAAACATACATGATAGTGCAAACATACATAGGAATTATAACACTAATATAAGAAAAACTAAAAATTAAATAATGCATTATATACAGAAGTAGACATATAGAGAAAAAACATGTAATTGTTTAAATTAATGTACAGATATGTTATTTACAAGTGTGCAGTTTACAAATGTACAAATTTCGGATTCTTTGTATGTGTCCGTTATGATGGACAATGTATAGTTATGAATGTTTTAATTGTTCAGGCTGAATATAGCCTGCGGGGATGAAACTGTTCTGGTGCTCAGTGCTCTGTAGCGCCGACCAGATGGCAACAGTTCGAAGAGTGAGTGTGCTGAGTGTGAGGGGTCCAAAGTGATTTTCTGAGCCCTTTTCCTCAATCTGGAAATGTAAAGATCTTTGAAGTTGGGCAGAGGGGAACCAATAATCCTCTCAGCAGTCCTGACTGTCCATTGTAGTCTCTTGATGTCTGATTTGGTGGCTGAGCTGAACCAGACAGTTATTGAAGTGCAGAGGACGGATTAAATGATGGCGGAGTAGAACTGTTTCAGCAGCTCCTGTGGCAGGTTGAACTTCCTCAGCTGGCGAAGGAAGTACAGCCTCTGCTGGGCCTTTTTAGCAATTGAGTCTATGTGGATGTCCTACTTCAGATCCCGAGAGATTGTGGTGAACACAAATTTTCATTTTGAATTTTTAATTGAAGGAGACATAGGCATGTATGAATAAGCATGGAGAGCAGCTTCTGGGACGCTTCTGAAACGTAGTTGGGTTCTCCCAAAAATGAAAATTACCCCATGATTTACTCACCCTCAAGGCATCCTAGGTGTATAAGATTTTCTTCTTTCAGACGAATCCAATCGGAGTTATATTAAAAAATGTCCTGGCTCTTCCAAGCTTCATCATCCGCCAGACAGGCGTTCTATTGTGAACACGCGTACAACAGTTAGCGGAAGCTAGAGATTACTGTTTATAAAATTTTAAATGTCCTTGCTCTTCCAAGCTTCATCATCCGCCAGACAGGCGTTCTATTGTGAACACGCGTACAACAGTTAGCGGAAGCTAGAGATTACTGTTTATAAAATTTTAAATATGGATTTTTTCCTTTAAAAAAAACGCATCGATTAGCTACAGGAGCCTTTATTCACCCCCCAAAGCCGTGTGGGACACTTTTTTATGATAGATTGATGCGCTTTATTGGACTTATTTTGGACTATTGAAAAAAAAAAACACCTACTCACTGCCATTATGAAGCTTGGAAGAGCCAGGACATTTTTTAATATAACTCCAATTGGATTTGTCTGAAAGAAGAAAGTCATATATACCTAGGATGGCTTGAGGGTGAGTAAATCATGGGGTAATTTTATTTTTTGGGTGAACTATCCCTTTAAACACAAGCACTGACTAGAGTGGCCACGATCAGCTCCAGTGGCAGTGTCCCGTGTCAAAAACAGAAGTGTAACAGTAAATAAATATCGGTTATGCATATTGGTTATTGGGCACATAAACATGCAAATAATTGGTATCGGCTATAAACAAATATCAATATCGACTGATCACTATTGAAAATAGCAGAGGGCCTAACACAAAACCTTGCAGTACTCCATAATTTACTGTTGTTAACTTGGATCATTGCCCATTTAAATAAAAAAAATTGGTAGCTGTTTAATAGGTACAATCTAAACCACCGTAATACCTGTCCATGAATACCAGTGTAATTCTGTAATCAATCAAGAGTATGTCATGATCTATAGTGTTTAATGCAGCACAAAGATCAAATAAATCTTCGCGATCTCTGCTTCCTGCGGAGAACGGCTTTGGCGGCGTCTGATGCCAGTGACCGGGGGAGGGGACACAGAAAGCAGTGCAAGAGTAAGCGTAAGCAAGGAAAGAGAATGGGGGTCCATGCTTGGCTAAAACAAACCCTAGACTAGACATTGGACTACTCTCCCATGTCTGCTCCCTGGACAATAAAATGGACTACATTCAACTTCGACAGTCTACACAGAGTGAGTTTAGAGACTGCTGCATCTTTGTTTTCATGGAGATGTGGCTCAGCGACAGCATTCTGGACACCACCATTCAGCTAGACAGCCTCACCACGTTTCATGCCGATAGAGCCCTGAGCGGTAAGACTCGCAAAGGTGGTTTGTGTGTATACATCAACACTAAATGGTGCAAGAACTAGTCTCTGTTCATCGTTTGTGACTGTCAGATTACTGCCAGCTTGAATGGTGTTGGGACATGACCTAGAGATAGAGATGAGTTGATAATATTGAGAAGAGGCTGTTCTGCTACAGGTAACAACTCTTCCAGTAATTTAGTGGGTATCAGATCAAATAAACATGTTGTTTTAGATGCAATGATAAGCTAATATAGCTCTTCCTGTCCTATAGTTGTAAAGCACTGCAATTGTTCTTGAGGCACTATAATTGAGGCTGAATCATAAAACACTGTCAAAGGTTATACATTTAGAATTGTATTTTGAATATTAGCAGAATGCACATTACCTGATCAGTGACATGATCACTTTGCAAAATACAATACCTATCAGTAAGATTGGTACCATTCAATATTATTAAATCTAGTGTATGATGGAAATGATGAGTGGTTCTGGTGATTTTGCCTGACCCCAAAGGAGTTAGGTAAATTAGTAAATACAACTTCTAACACATAATTTTTATTATCTATTTGAATATTAAAATCTCTGAGAATCAATGCTTTATTGATGTTGACCAAAAAAAGTCTGAGAGAAAATCTGTGAACTTGTAGAAACTGGACCAAGGAACAATAGAGGGCCTGGGCCGTGGAGCAGAGGGTTGTGGTCCAATTGCAGACTTGGGTGGTGGAGCACTGGCAGGCCTAGACCGTTGAGCACTGAACAAGGCCATGGCAGAGTAAGAACATGAATAGCCTCCGTGGCCATGGCATGGGGCACAGCAAGTTCCTGGGTTGTCTCCGTAGCCGTAGTGATACAATATTTCAACAATTTGACCTCTGTGGTCATCCTAGGGCAGAAAGGAAGTTCATAAATGACCTCCATGGTTGTATCTGGGCTGAACGGGAGTTCATTGACAACCTCTGTGGTCACATCAGGGCAAACAGGAAACTTGGGGACAACCTCCGTGGTCGCATCAGGGCAAACAAGAAGTTAATGGATGACCTCTGTGGTAACATCAGGCCAGACAGGAATCTCAGGGACGCCACCCCTGGCAGTGACGAGAGGACTAGGAACGACCTCACTGACCTTGACGGAAGCAGCTACTGTGGACATTCTTGCTGGAGAAGTGTGTGCAGCCCAAACACACAAGATGGCAACCCCCATCACCGAGAGTACAGTAGAAGGTGGTAGGATGTTTGGGGCTCCCAAGACAGGAAGTGCTGAGACCACTGGACTTGCCATTGCTGGCATGTGGGCCATGGTCAGCTTTGGACCGGCCTCCGTGGCTGGGAGCGTGATACCCCCCATCAGAATTTCCTGGGGAGTCTCTGGTTTGGCAGGCATGACGTGAACAAGCTCTGGCATGGTGGGTACTGCAGGATTGCCGTACCTCATCTGCATTTACCACAGTAAATGAGGAACTGCTTAGTAAGAGGACAAAGTCCATATATTGGGCCAGAGTCCATGGCACAGTGCTCTCAGTCATTAGGTAATTCCAAGGGTCGGTATGTCCATTGCAAAAAATGCCCTTGAGGGTCCATCTGACAGCAAAGTCTGCAAAAATCCTCCACATGACTCTCCAAGGAACGATCTCCATGAGAGTTGCAAGAGCTGAACTGGTGGGTT